TGGTGTTCGTGCCGTCGAGTGTCCGATTTTAGTTCCATGCGCTCGACGACAAAACACCGCTGGACGCGTTCGACTAAACAAGATGGCTACGTGTTCGACCATACGATCGACCACCCAGCCGTTCATCAATTTGGCTACGGTTAACTCCCAGCCTGGGAGGTACATAAGCTGCACATTGCACTTGCATGTTGTCCAACTGTTCGGTTGTTTATTCGGTAAACGAACACCCTAAGTATAATCCATTCGGTAGCCCCATATACCGAACCGTAGAGGGGAAAAGGCATAAACAAAGCCTTTCCACAGTCCTGAAGCCAGGTCTAATACATGGGCCCTGGTCCTGGGGCAAGAGGCTGGCAAACAGGCCCCTCCAAAAACTTGTGGAAAACTCACAAGAAAAGGGGAGTTTGTCACAATCAGTATTTGACACTCCTGAATTCTGATTTAGCTTTCATGTCTAATTAGGATAAAGGGGTAATCCAGACAGGAGCAAATGATCAAAAACCAGATGCAACATACAAAACAAAAATAACAAAAATAAAATAAATTCTGAGTGAAATTAACACTGTATAAGATTCTGGCCTTTTCTAAGCCGCCCCTGTATAAACCAGTTTCAAATGTTTGCATGTTGTTGTCTACAATATTAATTACTTGTTGTCCTGCCTGCTAGCACAAATTGGTTTGTGCAATAAAACAAAAAAGGATTGGTTTAAAAAGAGCAACTCTCCTCTAAATGTTATAAAAATGGAGCAATCAGCAAACATTCCATTGGTTTTCAAAGTCATTGCTCCCAATTGCACTTATCCCCCAGTATATTCAAAGCAGCAGAATTTCCCTTTCAATTAATATGATTCTTCCTGTGTTACATTCATGATTGCTTCAGCTTAAAAAGCTGCCAAATCACCATTGGAGTTGAAGTTCTGCGACAATTAAAGATCTACCTTTTAGGTATTCATGTTAAGTAAAATATAGGCCTCAATTTAATATTGTTGGGTAAGCTTTTTTAAATGATTTAATATTTTTTAATAAACGTTAAAATGATTTAAGATTATGAAAAATATTAGAATTTTTGAATATATCAATTTTTATTTTTTATATATTGATATATATTTTTATATATGAAATATTTTTTGATATTTTAATATGTTGAAAAAAAGTTTCAAAAGTTTATCAGAAAATATTAAATAGTTGGAAAAGTATTTCTAACAATATTAATCAAGGCCATAATGAATTAAGAAACTATTTTTATGTTGGCTGAAAATTGCCCACCTCGTTTTCCTGCATGTACAAAATATTATATTTATTATAGAAACAAGAAATTCTGCAGCTGCTAGAAGAAAGCGACAGATTTGTGAGAGGGAGTGAAAATAATACTGAAGTAGATATGCTCTAACTGGAAAGATAGGATTCCACCAAGTCCTAAAAGAGTTAAAATAAGCTAAAAACACCCTAGAGTGCCAATATCCAGGAGCAAGAAATCAATAAATCCAATAATACTATGTGATAAAAATAATAATAAATATTAGTTAAAACTAATAAAATATAAAATATTAGTTAAAACTTAGTCTTCTATTACTATTCAGAGGTTGAGTATGTATACACACATTTGTATCGTAATATAGTTTCAAATAAGCGTTGTATTGATAATAAGTTGCCAAATAGTCGTCCTTTTTAAATAGCAAGAAAGTTACTGTCCGAAATCTGTAACAAACTTTGTATCATAAGTAACTATGACTCGGCATGTATCGACATTGCCGTGTGGCTACAGTACTTATTAGTTCAATCTACTTAAAATTTATAAGATTATAAGTAGTCCAAAAGAGCAATGAAAACAATGGAAACTTAGTATAGAATAAACTAAGTTTCCAAAAATATTAACCTTATAATGGTTATAGAACCAGATTGATGAATAAAATTGGAGTTTATTAAGGATTTGAAAATTCAATATAGAATAAAAATAGCGGTGAAATACTGAGGTAGGAGTACAGTCTAACAAGTCTCAAATGCAAAAAAGTGCAGAACCTGTGATCCAGACCCGGATGGATTTGGATTGTAAATTGAAGGAAAGACCCTTTTCTTCTCCCTCCTTACAGCTGGTGAGGACGGTGTGTGAGTCCCTGTATCCTCCGTCTTCGACCTCACACCGAGAGGTGGAGCTGGAACCCACGGGGGAGGTGTTGATGGAGTTGAATACCGGGTCCGGGGAAAGTAATCCACAGTAATGAATCTGGAGACCTAGCTTACTCCTCCCAGGTTCAACCATCTTGATTTGCCTTACACGTTTCGTAGGGTTCGTCCTACTTCATCAGAGGCTGATGGTCTCTCTTGTCGGCCAGAGTTTATATACCGTGAAACAGTAATTATCTTATTTACAGCGCCACGCTGGCCTCCCCCGTGGGTTCCAGCTCCACCTCTTGGTGTGAGGTCGGAGGCGGAGGATACAGGGACTCACACGCCGTCCTCACCGGCTGCAAGGAGGGAGAAGAGAAGGGTCTTTCCTTCAATTTACAATCCAAATCCATCCGGGTCTGGATCACAGGTTCTGCACTTTTTTGCATTTGAGACTTGTTAGACTGTACTCCTACCTCAGTATTTCACCGCTATTTTTATTCTATATTGAATTTTCAAATCCTTAATAAACTCCAATTTTATTCATCAATCTGGTTCTATATCCATTATAAGGTTAATATTTTGGGAAACTTAGTTTATTCTATACTAAGTTTCCATTGTTTTCATTGCTCTTTTGGACTACTTATAATCTTATAAATTTTAAGTAGATTGAACTCATAAGTACTGTAGCCACACGGCAATGTCGATACATGCCAAGTCATAGTTACTTATGATACAAAGTTTGTTATAGATTTCGGACAGTAACTTTCTTGCTATTTAAAAAGGACGACTATTTGGCAACTTATTATCAATACAACGCTTATTTGAAACTATATTACGACACAAATGTGTGTATACATACTCAACCTCTGAATAGTAATAGAAGACTAAGTTTTAACTAATATTTTATATTTTATTAGTTTTAACTAATATTTATTATTATTTTTATCACATAGTATTATTAGATTTATTGATTTCTTGCTCCTGGATATTGGCACTCTAGGGTGTTTTTAGCTTATTATATTTATTATATTTACAAAATAATATAATATTAAATTACAGTATGAAGATTCCCGGTTTAGGTAATTTTATGGTGACTTAATTAAATACTGAGAATAAAGCTTTGAAACAACACAGATAATGACATGTTTTTGATCTTCCTTGAATTGCTTGTCATTCATTCACTAAATCTGTTAATGTTTAGCAAAAGACAAGATTATCTCTGGCATCTCTGGCAATATCTTCATCAGAGAGAATGAGGGGGGAACTAGCACATGGTGGGAAAATCCAGTTTAACCAAATACAATTAATTTGTACTTTAGCAAGTGAGTTCAGAGCCCTAAAAAAAATTATATAACATACTTTGTTTAAAGGGAGATTATTAACCTCAAATGACTAATATACCAGGAGATAGATAGATAGATAGATAGATAGATAGATAGATAGATAGACAGATAGATAGATAGATAGACAGACAGACAGAAAGACAGACAATGTGCGGACAAACAGATAGATGTACAGACATAACCATGTATGTACTTTTCTTACACTGCTTATTTAAACATTCAATTTGAACTTGGAATTTTGATATAAAGCTCCCACAGATGGCTGTAAAAAAGCAGCAAAAAAACATTAACTGAATGACTCAAGAAAGGCTGTTTTAATACAAAAGGTGATTTATTTTTAAATAATAAGTATGAACACACACATGAAAACATGAACATAGTTTAAATACCCACTAACCTTTAAAACTGACTTGTGACATTACCATATGTTTACCTTACTGGGACATCAATATGATTTTCTTTACTATAAGTATTTATTCATATTAAATTAGTGTTTTCAGTTTTCCTTTTTAGATTTTTGCTTAAAATATTATATAAATGGTGATGCTGCCATTCTAGAATAAGACACTCAACTCTTGCTAATCAAAATATAATTGTAAACTGTAATTAGTTCTATTGACATTTAAGGGTTACTCCAACCACGATGACAACTTCTTCTTTTAGAAGTGTCATGTTGGTTGGAATCAGTATGTGCAGTGTTTCAGCTGCACAGTTATTACCAATTTTGTGCTGATGTTTAGATGAACCCCTAGTACATGTGACTTAGGAAGCTCAGAACTTGGTTCTAGGCTGCAAAGTGTCAATTCTGTGCATGAAATTCGTCCATCGTCAGCACGCACTGCACGCTGGTGACGGATGTCTTGATCTTGAGAAGCCTTTGATTGGACCTCTGGCGGCTGCTATGACATCATGAGGAGGCGTGGAAATCCATTGGATCTTCGGTAAGTAAAAACATTTTTAACAACTATTTTGTAGGAAGGGGGGAGACATTAAGTCTAATGCCCCATAGAACATTTTTCATTTAAAAATGTATGCATTGAAAAGGGTTGCAGTAACTCTTCAAAGATATACAAAGTGTATTCAGAAAGTATTCAGATCCCATTTCTATCCAAATTTTCAATGTTGCAGCCTTATACTACAATTACTTTTTTCTCATCAATCTACACCCAATATCCCAAAACAAGAATGTAATAAAACTGATTTCTTTTTAAACTTTGCAAATTTGTTAAAAATAAATTGACATAAGTATTCATACCATCTGTTATGACACTTAAAACTTAGCTCATATGCATCTTGTTTCTCTGCATCTTGTTTCTCTGGATCTTCTATAGTTTAATTGCAATCCGCCTGTGCTCAATTCAATTGATTGGACATTATTTGGAAGGCACCCACCTGTCTATATAAAGTCTCACACAGTGGCTGAATTAATGTAGAGAGGGCCTTGGTGCAAGAAATGTTTTTGAGTTCCAATCCCAAAGATTCCCATCTGTCGTACAACTCAACACAATGCGTTGCCAGCTGAGGATCTACAATTTTCTCATCATTGAGGGTTTTAATTGTGGGCAGTGTTTGTGTGTTTGAATTTAAGCATGTTTTTGTATGGAGTATGTGTGTGTGGATGTAGGGCTCTATTTGTGTCAAGTGTTGGTATTTGAATGAAGTTTTGTGTTTTTATGTACTGATGTCACTTAAAAGCAGTGGTGTAATTGTGTGTAGTGTGTTTGAATGCAAGGGTGTGTTTGTATGTAGTGTTGGTGTTTGAATGAAGGATGTATTTGTGTATAGTTTTTCTATTTGAATACAGGGGTGTGTTTGTATGTAGTGTTGATGTTTGAGTGTGAACACTGGGACATATGCACATATGCGGACACACGCATTGACACAGATATAAACTAACACACAGATGCACATACGCAGTGACACCCGTATACACACATATACCCACACTGACAAACAAAGATACACATACACACTGACCTGCACACATTTTTGTATCTGACATAAATACAGATGCACATGCACACTGACACACACAGATACACACATAGACAAATACTGGCACACACAGATACACACTGACACACACAGATAAACACATACACCAACATTGACACACACTGATACACACAGAAGTTGCAATTTATATATTTTTAGCCACCACCCTGTTTCCATAAATTTTGAGTGCAGGGGGGTTCTTTCCTTGGCTGGCTGAGAATGATGGGAATCTGAGGCTGTATGCAATGTTCTTCCTCCTCCCTTCTCTGTGCCTCCACCGCACGATCTGCAAACTGGGAGGAAGTAACAGGCTCTCACATTCACCCAGCACTGAATGCTAATATTAACCTGGCCAGGTCGCACTGCTAAATGGCTCCTGACCAGATCTGTCTGCCTATATGGTGGGACCTGATGGGCTGCCAATGCCTGTGGACCACAGTGCACCGGCAGTAGTTCCACTAGTCTCACAGCTGTAAATGCATATCAGAGCAAAAAGTAAGCCATTGGTCAAAGGGACTCCTGGCAGAGCTCAAAGATAGGATTGTGACATGGCACAGATTAGGGCAAGCCAGCACAATTTTTTTTAGCTACATTGAAGTTTCCCAAGAGCACAGTGGCCTCCATAATTCTTAAGTAGAAAGGTTTGGAATGACCAGAACTCTTCCTGAAGCTGGCTGCTTGGTCAAATTGAGCAATAAAAGGAGATTACAAAGAACCTGATAGTCACTCTGGGTGAGTCCAGAGATCATGTGTGGTGATGGAAGAAACTTGTGGAAGGAAAACCATTACTGTAACACTCAACTGATCTGACATTTATGCAGACTAGCAAGACAGAAGGTTCTCCTCATTTTACTTGCAAACCGCAAAAAAAAAAAAAAAAAAGCATCTAAAAGACATTATTCTCTAGTCAAACGAAACGAAGATTAAGCTGTTTGGCCTCATGAAAAGCATCATGTCTGGAGGAAACCAGCCACTGCTCATCACCTGTGCAACACCATCTGAACAGAGAAGCATGGTGGTGGTAGTGTCATGCTTTGCATGTAATTTTCAGTGGTAGGGACTAAGAGACTGGTTAGGGTTGAGGGAAGGTTGAACGCTACAAAATACAGAGATATACTTAATGAAAACCTGGTCTAGAGTGCTCAGGACTTCAGACTGAGCTGACATTTCACCCTCCAACAGGACAATGACCCAAGACAAACAGCCAACACAAGAGTGGTTTAGGGACAACTCTGTGAATGGTCTTGAGGTTATGTGGGTTCATGCAATTGTAATTGTAACAGGCTGTGAATTCCTCCCAGCTTCTTACTGAGCGTGCCGCGCGGGGAGGGACCTCTTTACATTAGTTACGCCACTGATAAATATATTTACAAAAATTCATAATAGAACTGTAACCTATGGTTTTATTTGAACTAAAGAATCAATGAGCTCCTTGAACAATGAGTTAATGTATGTTATTTAATAAAGTAATGAATGTATAGATTAATAAATCAACATATATATAAGTAAGGATATTGTGAAACACTGAAGTTATGTGCTGGAGTTGTTCCCTGACATTTTAATTCAGTGTTAAGTAAAATCTTATTCATTATGTAACAGTGCTTTTTCAATCATAAATACAGACAGCAATACTTTGTCTATGCAATGTATATACTATTAACCACTTGGAATGAACAATACGACTGTGGTCTTCTAACACCTCCACTGGCAGTGTTGGCTGCTTTTCCGTTTGATTGAAGTTATTATTACCATTTATATCAACATATGCTACAGAACTACACAATTATAGAAAAGGGATATTTAGAGTTGAAGAACGGATGAGAAATCATCACTATTTGGGAGGTAACGTTTTTTACATTACTGACATTGTAACCAAAATTGGTTTGATTATCCATAGTTTGCCCTATAATAGTCAGTGCTGCCCTTCACTACTCCATAATTTGTTTCGTTAAAAGAAAAAACTTAAAAAGACAGTTAGCTATGTCCACATTTTATTTCTTACATATTTCATGCCTTTTAACATTTCAAAAATAATTTTAAACAGAACCAATTAATACATCAAGTGGTAAGTATGTTGGTGTTCCGTCTCAGTTTCTGAAAAATGGTACGGAGTCACCAGTGGAATGTGCCTGTCAGTTCCTCTGGCTTCCATGGCGATTGCCCCACTTTTAGTGCATTAGAACACATTTTTTTAAAAATCTTTCTTTTTATTCATAACCCCAATGAATTCTTTACTTTTTCTCAACACCAGGTTGGAAAAAGTGCAAAATGTCATTCAGCTGTTCAGAAATTTGGCCCTACTAATGAAAAACATCAAACAAGTTTACACAACTTTACAATATTTGCACCACTCACAATATGAAGACAAGAGGAGCTTAAGTATGGGGTTAATGAAAATTATCGCAATGTCCACACCCCAAAACACAAGAATCAATATATTCTTCAGCAAACTGTGTGTCTGTGATTTAAGGAAATTCCATTTAGCTCAGAATAAGTTTAAATTGCAAATGAGTGTAACATGTTAGTTAATAATTTACTAGAAATAACATTTATAGTTTTTATCACTGTTAAGGTTTGTTGAGTTCACATTCAAAATAGTGATAGATAGATAGATAGATAGATAGATAGATAGATAGATAAATAGATCGATAGATCAATAGATAGATGGATAGATAGATGGATAGATTGAGATAGATAGATAGATAGATAGATAGATAGATAGATAGATAGATAGATAGATAGATAGATAAATTTGATTTAGTCAATTTTATTTCATTTCATTACAAAATACAATGAGACATTTCAGAAGCAGATAAAAAGCAATAGCAATATTTAAGCATATTTAAAAATACATTCATAAAGTCATATCAATAATGAGCAATTTAAAAAATAAATTTTTCAACACATATGTATAGTAGAGCAGATGAAATTCAAAAACTGGGTTAAGGAGGAGGAAGAGGTGAGACTGGAGTATGATGTAAATGAGGAAAGGTGTAACTTTTAGTTGAAGAAAAAAAAAGTCTTGAAGTATAGTGTGTTTAATAAAAGTGTCAAGTAATGCATATAGAATCCACAAAAAAACAGGTTGTTGTGTTTATAGACATTTTATTTTAGTTGAAGCCCTAAGTTCTTCTGTAGTCTTGCTTTCTCCTTTTTATCTTCTCTGTTTCTCAATATATGTGTGTGTACGATTTTCTAGATAAAGTTTTCTAGTTAAGTTAAATTGGAGGTTGCAAAGCTACATTTTTATATCATTATCATTTTTATTGTTGTCATTGTTATTGTGTAATATTTATAAAGCGCCAACAAATTTTACAACACTGTACAATAGGTGGACTAACAGACAAGCAGTTGCAACAAGACAATTTGGACGTACAGAATCAGAAGACACAGAAGGCTCTTCTCAAATAAGCTTATATTCTGATAGCCTCTTAAAATTATTAAAGTTTAGTTGTAATATGAAGTAACAAAAAGGTTATGCAGATCTCACACCCCTACGCCCTGCCCTGATTCCACAACCATCAAAAGGATCCTTGTAACCCTCATTTGGGTCTTGACCATGAGTTATGGAACTAAAGACTATATAGCTTAGAGCAAAATCTTTAAGAAATACTCATTTTGTCTGTGTTGGATTTCACTGACAAAACAAGAGATATACAGAGACAAAGTAGAGACTACTATGTCTAAATATGTTTGCTCCGCCTGACCAGTGATGGTTGAAGAGGATACACCATAACAAGAAGACCGTGCCCACAAGTTCAAATAAGTAAATATTACCTTTTCCTCCCCCACCACCCTCTCGACCACCAGACCCTTTGCAGAGATGCCACTGTCGGGCATCTCTGCAAATTCAGCAAGGGTCGCCAGATAGTGACAGTGCCACTTTAAGCACACATGCACACACACACATATATTTATCTTCACATGCTGCATACATAAGCACACAAATAGAGACATGCATTCATACAATACACACATATACACACATACTAACACACATATATACACAAACAATTATGCTTGTGATTACACAGATTGTAATATAGAAGGGGAAATGCTAGAATTATGAAACAGACTTCCCTTTAGCAAATAATCAACTCACTCACAGCAGATTTGCATATCTCAGTTTGGCTCAAGTTCAGTGAGTCAGATCCCTAAATTAAGTAAATAACTTAATTCTTGGATGATTTCAGGCCTGTAAATCAAATAGAAACATAGAATGTGACAGCAGATAAGAACCATACGGCCCATCTAGTCTGCCCAATTTTCTAAATACTTTCATTAGTCCCTGGCCCAGTGGCGTACTAAGGGGGGGGCGGGGGGGGCGGTCCGCCCCGGGTGCCAGCCGGGTAGGGGGTGCCATGGCCAGCCCCCATACTGCAGCCGCCCGAGCGCTCTGTGAAGAGCCTCAGGCGGCTGCAGCTTTGCCCGGGCGGTGCGTCCATGAGGGCGGACCGCACCGCCCGGGCGCAGCCTGGGGAGAGGGGCTGACAGGAGGGAGCGCTCCTGTCAGCTCCCTCACTGCAGCATGATAGTCCGCGGGTACAGAGAGCAGCTGTCTCCTGTACCCGGCCGGACTAACAGGAAGTGCACACTGTGTGCACTTCCTGTTAGTCCGGCCGGGTACAGGAAACAAAAGCTCCCTGTACCCGCGGACTATACAGGGCTCGGCCACGCTACAGGAGGTAGGGAGGGGGAGAAGAAAGAAGAGGGGGGTGAGAAAGAAGGGGTGAGGGGGGTGAGAGAGAAATAAGGGGTGAGAGAGGGGTGAGAAAAGAAATAAGGGGTGAGAAAGAGAGATAGGGGTGAGAGAGAAATATATAAAGTAGAGAGAAATAAGGGGTGAGAAAGAGAAATAAGGGGTGAGAAAGAGAAATAAGGGGTGAGAAAGAGAAATAAGGGGTGAGAAAGAGAAATAAGGGGTGGGGTGAGAAAGAGAGAAATAAGGGGTGGGGTGAGAAAGAGAGAAATAAGGGGGGGGTGAGAAAGAGAAATAAGGGGGGGTGAGAAAGAGAAATAAGGGGGGGGGGTGAGAAAGAGAAATTGGGAGGAGGAGGAGAAGGAAATTGGAGCGGGAGGAGAGATTGACATTCATCACATACACACAATGCACCCCTTGCACACAGAAAGACACACATACACAAGCAATGCAACCGTTACACACAATGCATCCCTTACACACACAGAAACACACAATGCATTCATTACACACACTCAATGCACCCCTTACACATATTCAATGCATCCCATACATACACAGAAACACACCTTGCAGCCCTTACACATACAAACACAATTTCACACAATGCATTCCTTACACACATATCAGGACATCCCCTACACACTCCACCCCCTGTGAACAAACTCATTGGTGGAACATGAAGGTGGACCCTGGGACCCAGACCTTGAGCTGTGTAAAGGACCCCCCAAAAATGGAGCTGCTTCCCGTTCTCCCAGAACATTGATTTTTGTGACCACAGTTACAAACCGCCTCCAGAGAGCCTGTTCTGCACCAGACCAGTGGAGCCAGACTGCAGCTAGAGCCCATCATCATCCTCATCTGGTTGTAAGTAGGCAATCTAGTATATTATTCGTGGCACTAAGCTCTAATTTACCTCACATTAAAGAAACACTATAGTCCCCAGAACCACTTCAGCTTAATGTAGTGGTTCTGGTGTCTATAGCCTGTCCCTGCAGGCCTTTTAATGTAAACACGGCGGCACTGCAGCACTGGCGTTAGTTAACATGGCAAATCATATGGCTGGGGCATTGTGATGTCACATGGGGGGCGGCAAACTTTACTTTTGCCTTGGGCGGCAAAAATCCTTGTACCGGCCCTGGCTGGAGGGGGCTGTGTGAGCTGTGGCCGCACAGTGTCCCATGGAAGTTAGGGTGCCGTGCGGCCAGTACAGCTCACTCAAGCAAACAGCTGATAAACTGGCCGCACGGAGGAAATGTGTATGTGTGACTGTCTGCCTGTGACTGTGTGTGACTGTCTGCCTGTAACTGAGTGTGTGACTGTCTGCCTGTAACTGAGTGTGTCTGTAACTGTGACTGTCTGTAACTGAGTGTGTGACTGTGTCTGTAACTGAGTGTGTGACTGTCTGCCTGTAAATGTGTGTGTGGGGCTGCAGGGATTTTGTAGAAGGGGGTGGGGGTTTTGTATTGGGACAGGAGTCTTTATAAGGGGGGATAAGCAGGGGATTTGTGGAAGGGGGTTGCGGGGGTTTTGTAGATGGGGCAGTACAGGATTTGTAGAAGGGGCAGGACAGAGGTTTTGTAGGAGGGGCAGGGCAGGACAAGGGTTTTGTAGGAGGGGCTGACAGCGGTTTTGCAAAGTTTACAAATTGTAAAAATAAAAGAAATAAAACCTTTAAAATTTTTTACAGGTTTTTTTTTTGGGAGGGGGGTGGGGGGGGGGGGGGCCAAGCACAGGATCCGCCCCGGGTGCCAAATGCTCTAGGTACGCCCCTGCCCTGGCCTTATCTTATAGTTAGGATAGCCTTATGCCTATCCCACGCATGCTTAAACTCCCTCACTGTGTTAACCTCTACCACTTCAGCTGGAAGGCTATTCCATGCAGCCACTGCCCTCTCAGTAAAGTAATACTTCCTGAATGTCGAAAATGCCATGTACCATATTAACCAGGTAACCCTGGCAATGGATTGTATAATAAACACATGTAGTAATGTGATTGGCTGAAACATATCACCGAGTATTGATACCATCAGTGATTGATCCATTTTCACAAGTCTACACCACTTGAGATTATGATACAAAAATCAAGACAATTGTAAAATGTATAATTGCAAGCAGCATTTTTGATATAAAAATGTCAAATATTTTGTCTGATTGGTGAACTAAAATATATCTCTTAAAATGCAATATAATAATTTGTATATCGGTAACATATGTACACTTTGTTTTTATTGCATCATCAACATATAGTTATTGATTAATAAAATCCATTTTTGGAAACTGAAACTCCCTAGTTTACTGATCTGCAAAGGGTGGGAGCATGTTATGCACAAAACGTACTTTTAGACAAATAAGTAAATCACAGTAATACTCATCACTGATTTATGTTATGAAGACAGTGACAAATTGTCTCTTTTGGTGACTTTAGTATCTGTTTCCTCCAGTGGAATTTTTATTATGCTAATTACAAACATCATAGCAAGTAGTTTAACAGAGTACAAAGTCAGTTTAAATCAAAGTATAAAACAGGAAGAGATGAAATGGGAAATAAATGCATGTTTTTTTCTCTTTGTATTCTCTGGGGAAGTTTGTTTCTTGCAAAGTTAAGCATTAACTTGTGGCAAGTAGATGATTTTCTCTGGAATTTAGGTTATTTCCCCTTTACAGTGACTGGCTGGAGAAAGCCAGAGAGGTATATAAACTGATAGATGGGTCGTCTTTAAGAAGATGTATCAATCCATCAAATTTAAATTGAAGCTGAACTATACACAACGTTTCACAAACTATATGTGCCTTCAGGCCTTTGAATAGTTAGTAAGGCAATGTGTGCTTGCATTGTAGCCATTCGTACGTGTGTATGTGTGTTTGACTGAATAGCAAATGTGTGCTTGCATTGTACATATACATACATACATATGTTTGTTTGTTTGTTTGTGTGTGTGTCTGTCGCAAAAGTATTTATATAAATATCAGCTTACTTCATATTAAATTGTCCTTATTATTATTATTTTATTATTTATATAGCGCCATCAGATTCCGTAGCACTGTACAATGGGTGGACTAACAGACATGTAATTGTAACCATACAACTGGACGTACAGGAACAGAGGGGTGTAGGGCCCTGCTCCATGAGCTTACATTCTACATTATGTTCCTTAATTGTCTATGTGTGTGTGGATATTTTTTTTTTCAGGTAGTGTGTTTACATGTATTTCTTTCAACTATGTTATCTATCAAATAAACCTTATAATTGATAAAAAAAATTATATTTACTACACGTCTTTTTCAGTATATTACAATTGTAATGGTAAATGTGTACTTACATTTGGTGGAAACTAATAAATACAAAATAGAACTTGGGTTGTACATTTCTGTCTGTCTGATTCTCCTTCTACCTCTATCTTTCTCTCTCTCCATCCAACCAAACCCAAGTCCGTCCATCTGTCTGTCTGTCTTTCTATTTATTTATCTATTTATCCATCTATCATTCTGTTTGTTACCATGCGTGTGTTTCCCTATTTCTGAGCATTCCTCTTAAAGTGACATAAATGATCCACTGGGAGCCGAAACGTCGAAGAAAAGGAAATCCCTGATCAAATTAATACTTTAAGAACTTACTTATCACTGACCTGTCACCCATGTCCAGTTTAATAATATTCAATAACAACAGCAGACAGGAAAAAGAACTTGTATTTGTCTGTAGAATTGTACGTCCATTTCTGTTTACTTTCCTACTTCCTACTATTTAAACAAAGTATAGATTCCTAGACATAGAGTATCAGACTCTCCAGAACAGACAGGATTTATATTGCACGGTGTCTGCTATATAATGTAGGTGGGTTTATTGTGCATTGTCTAAAGAAAAGGAAAATCTCACACCTGGGTGTGAAAACTTTAACGATCTCCTACAATTCGTGCATGCATTGTGTGTTAATGACAAACCTGTCAACTTGTGAAGAATACCTGAGCTAGACATTGCATTAGGAAATTGGCATATCAAATGTTTTTGAACTACATTTACCATGATGCTCAGCTAGCAGGGTGGCTGAGAAAGCCTCTAGGGAAATGTAGTTACTGCACAGAAATTCATGGCTTTAAATTCTACCAGGCACTGAGCTAGTTAACTGTTAGTTTTACAAGATTCAATTTATAATGTATGATGATCTTGTCCAAACAGCAGGCCAGGTAGGCTGTCTCTGTGCAATTAATGCCTATTGTCACAGTGATAAAATTTCACCACACCTCTGTCTGCTAATTAGTGTACATTTCCTTATCAATTCACTTAAATAATGATGTGGATTAAATTTGCTACAGGAAACATGGCATCTTCATCTACAACCCTGAAACCTGTATATTTAATTATCTCCTCCTTCTCTGTCTCCTGTCCCCAAGCCTGGCTTGTTTGTTCTGTATCCTGGACAATGATGATGACATTTTATGAAGTTTCTAACTGGTCTGATCCATGAACTTCTCTCTGCCTGTTACTCATTCTGGCATGACCAATTAAATATCAACTAGTTAAAGAAAAATTAATATCAGCTGCCTTCTACCTACTCATGGCATGTTGTTTGCAACCAATGAACTGATTCATGGGGTAAATACATCAGCAAGTGTTTTCCTGCACTCTGAAAATTCCCCTTTATTTTCCCTATTTTTATTTATGTCAAATAAGTGCATGTATGTATGGGATTATATATGTTTTATTTATACAGCACTAACAAGAGAGCTAACAAGGTGCAGGTGTTGGACATTTGTAATAGGAGATGTATGACACATTTGTATGCAGCATTATCCTGTATATGAACTTACTGCCATATTTATGTATTTAGGGGATCATTTTAGATTATTTAAAAAAACTAAATTAATTTCACCCATCTACTCCTACCTGTAGTCTTTCAAACACAGAAACCCATACCATTTGTAATTATTAACTTATTTTTATTTATATTTTTAGTAAATATTTATTCTATCTATCTATCTAACGTGTGTGACCTTATTTTGTTAATATGAATACATTATTTGAACATAGACACGATATATATAGTGTTATATATATGGAATCCTGATGTATCCATACCTATTATAATTTTCTTATTATCAACTCCATTTATCTTTTCTACTGTTGATGTAATCTGCAAAATAATAAACTTTCAAAGTTCACCTGTTCCACCTCTCCCGGATTTTAAATGATCAGCTGATAGTGACTTCAACTGGGCTGCAGTTTCGACTGAAAAAAAATCGAATTAATTCATTAACTCTAAAAATTCTTATATTAAAAAAAACTGGAAGTTAATATAAGATTTTATAAATCTGTCTTAGTTTTGGCGATCAAGTAAACAATCGGTCTCTGTAGGACTGCCAACTTAAAGTAAAATGGAGTTGAATTTATAATTGTTTTATTTGCTTTAGCTAATGTTGTTGGCATTGTGCTGTTTGATAATACAATATATAATTATTTTCTTTTTTCAATAGTGCATGGATTCCTCACTTTACTAAGTTCCAAACAACATCAAAGTAAGGAAATTTGCATACAATCGAAATAATGAACTATATAACAGACATAACTAAAAAAAAATAATGGATAATTGTCTGGTTTTACTCTATTTTGGGGGTAAAAAAAAAAAATGGACAGAAACATTTAATCACTCTCCCACCCCCACCCCCCTTTATCAAAGTCCAACCTTTAAGTAATGCTTGCCTTAGGCACTGCAGATCTGATAATCAAGGAGAATTCGCAAATAGGCTTTTTAAACCAATTTAGCAAACGCATAAATGCAATTTTAATGAAGAATCAATGTGGAAATAGTTCATTTTTCTCTCGAATCCATCTGTGAACCTGACAGAGAGACTAACATCGTTAAATCAATAAAGAATCTTTAGGTAGTGGAGAAGCAGATTGTCCTGGTGTGCTTAGGGTTGACTATGTGTCATTCCTCTGTTTCGCTGTTGGTTTTAACATAGGGTTAGCTTGCTGGAGTCATAGACTATATCCCCAGTGTAGTAATTAGCTCGCATGGTCTGGTTTAACCCCTCACTGACTGTCATTTCCAATTGCCTACAATGTGTTTTATACAGCCATGTTTTTTCACAAGAAGAGGACAACTGGATTTTTGAGTCATCTGGGGCACCTGGACCATTAGAATTTTTGATCTGGACTTTAACAAGACTTAAAGACCTTTTTCAGGGTTCTACAAAACTATCTATCTTGAAAACTCCCACTGCATTCTGTTGCCATTACAACCCCTTAAAATATCAAGAACTGAAAAAATAAATCATGATTTAATGCCCTATTCAATGTGTACCTTGGACAAGAACTCAGAGAACGTAGTCTCCACATCATCTCCTCAGCCAGAGGTCCTCCAGTGAGGTTGGCAGGTTCTAATCTTGCTTTTTTATTCTCTCTGAAACGGTTTATTTACTTTGATAGTTATTTGTCTTTCTGGAGGGGGGCCTCAGGTCCCAGTCCAGTAGAGCAGGGTTTTCTTTTACTTTTGTTGTTATCTAAACCGTTTAGATGTGGATGGCTAGTTCTGGAGCTTAAAAAAAAAACCAGCTGGGAAAGCCAGACACCCAACCGAGAATAGCATGCAAGAGTTGGACATACCTATTGGTCTGGCTCGATGAGAGATGGGCCATTAACCAGATAGAGTATGGATGACAGCACAGGAGCCAGGTAAAGTAGCATACAGTATCCCTTGAAATTTTGCCCATTGGGTGAAGTCTTTTAACTTGTCACAAGGCGATCACAGGCGTCCAAGGGCAGAAAAAAAAAATCATCACTTTAAAGATTGTAGAACAACATGTTAAGGGTTATTCTGTAAATCTTAACTTGTAACGAATTGCAATGCGATTGTCAAAATCTGAGATGAAATAGCCAATAGATTTAACGAATTAATCCCGAGTTGGAGAATTAGTCCAGTTTAGCTCTTTAACCCTCATGCATGCCGTTCGAATTTTAATTCGCTATAATTCGAAATGTAATGAAGACACCTGTCTGTGATGTATGTTCTGCAGGTGGGAGAGGGATAGGGTTGAGGGGGATAAGCAGCTATTTATTCTGGCTTTATATAATCATTTATCTAAATTATATAATCTATAGTTTAATAATAATAATCTATAAAATATAAAGTTTTGTGTGAATTATATGAAAATGATGACCTGGGAGATATTACTATATTTAATTTTTAGCTTTAATTCTTACATGTTGATTTGATTGTTTTGCTAAAAAGTTAAAGTTATTTAATTTAATATATTTTTACGGTATTTACATTTTATCTATTTTGTCCCTTTCGTTTATATAGAGAGAGAGAGAGTTTCCCTCTTTTCTTAACTGAAGGTTTTAATTGTATAAGCTCAGCCGTTATTAAATACACAGCAGTCCCGTTCATGACTTTTGATCCCTGTAAACTTTTCAAATACTTTATCAACAGTTTTAATGGTCATTACCATTGTTATATATTTGATCAGCTAGTTAAATCGAGTTATTTTCATTGATTCAATTGTTTCATTGACACTTTTTTTTTTTTGTCAATGTGTCAACGTTAATACATTTGCTATTTTTAAAGTTACTATGTTTACTCTTGCAGTGGTAACAAATCGTTCTGCGTAATATAATATAATATAATGTAATATAATATAATATAATACAATATATACAATATATGTATAATCGTATAGGTACATTAAAAAAACTCACATTTAAAAATATATATATATTGTGTGCATTTTTTTATTACTAATAATATTTTTTCATTTTTCTATTTTTTATTTTATTTTTATTATTATTATTTATTTAATTTTGGTGGATTTTTTTTCGGAGGACGATTTCTCCATCTATGGAATTCTGTTTGTTTTTGGAGCACGCAGGGTTCAGAAAACTTTGTAAACATCTCTCCATTTGTGAGTGTTCTGTGAGGATCTGGTGAAATCCCTTTTGCATTTCAGCTTTAAATAGGGAGATCAATAGGAAACAGTTGTAATGATCTAATTAATTATGGCAAAATTAAAAGCGAGTAGAAAATCAATCTCTGATGGTGTTGAAGATAGAATCAAATTGATAGTCCATCTGTTCAATCCGCAGACCATATAAATATGCACGCCAAGGACAGAGTTAATGAGAGCAACCTGCAGGCCTAGGACTCCAGCTGCCCCCCCTCTTCATTTTTTTATCCCTTTCCCCGTTTAACCCATTGAGTGCCAGGGGGTGCCAATGATTTACAATACAAGGCATTGGCATTGGGAAAGCTCTTGGCACTCCAGGAGTTAAAAAAAAAAAAAATAGCTCCTGTAATATGATACTGTCCCTTGGCAACATTTTGTTTTGACAGTTTGTTTGGGGAATTTGCAACTGTTGTTACTAACATATAGACAGATACATATATACATGTATACATACACTTCATTTAATTCTTACCTCTTTTCATAAAGATGGGAGCTGCTGAGGATACTGATGGAGCCATCCTGCCAGTGTCTACAATCAGTAAAAGGGAAGACCACACAAATAGAAAGGTGTTAAAGCACATATATAGCAACCAAAAAAAAAAGCACTGAAGGTTTGGAAATGATTTGAATCCTATGGTTTCATTGTCATTATTTATTTTGTAAGCGTTTTATAGCACTAATCCAGCCCATGCACAGATATATTATTTCATGCCATAATGAGATTTATTTTTCCTGGAGAGAAAAAAAAAAAAAAGGTAATGGGGGTTTAACCCCTTCGTTCCCACCCAGGATTGGGAATAGCAGGCGTGCTGTGCCATCACTTGGCATCACCTGGGTTAATTTGTGCTTGTGGCAATTCTTTTTGCATTTCCTAAAAGCGATGTGAGCTGTGTGTCTGAGTTCTTTCTCATGGTTCTACTGACATGCTGTGGAAAAAAAAATTACAGGCAAGCTCCTTCTCCCAGCTCAACTTTTTTTCTAAACGTTATTGTCATTGTGCCCTGCTCTCAAAGTTTTAGCCTGAAAAGATTAACCCCTTAAGGCTGAGAGGGTTAACAGAACTGTCATGTTATGAAAATGAATTGTCTTTACAAAACAAGAAAAAAAATGGGTAAAATTTAAGGTTTTGAATCCTTCTCTATTATATATGTATATACCGTGTCAGGTATATATGTGTGCATATCACATTTATGTATGTGTGTGTTAATATATAGGCACACATATATACACATCACTATTTATACACAAACACACAACAGTGACAGATACAAATAATTATGGAAGCATGAATAATCTGCATTATATTTTGTATGCAGCGCGCACAGTGTGTGTACTTAAGTTATTGTTTGTTTGTGAACGTTTAGTTAAATGTCTGTGTGTATACATACATATACATCACACAGTAAACTCAATAGCCAAATGGGTTAGTCCAAATTTGGGTTATTAGCAACGATGACAGACAATGCTTTGCAATACATACTTAAATTTACATTAAGATGTATTCATTTGTATAAGGGAACAATTCGTTTGCCAGCGTTATGATAAAGACCTTTATTGTGTCCAGTCTTTGTAAATCCGATATTAAATGGTTATTCAGTACAACTCGTTAAATTCAGTACAACAAGAATCCATATTGAACGAATGGGAGTTAAATTCGACGTAGAAAATGTCTTTTTTTTTTAAATTAATTTTTTTAAGTGTTTCTTTAAGAGTTTGAGAATAAGAAATTAACTGACTGACCTCTTGCCCCACTAACACAGACAGCGCCTGGAGGCCATAGACTTTGATTCCAACTGGATATATTAATTGACCTGTATAAAGTGAATATTAAATCAATCCATAATGAAAGATACATCTGCTCATTTACATAAAGATCCTAAAGGCCATATGACAATACAAACATAAATAAATAAA